CACCCAGTACCCGTCCCAAACTGCTCTCCAGGTGGCTGATCTAGTCACTTGATCCCGCCTAAGTCCCAGCTCAGTTCTTTTGAGAGTCAGTCTCAGCCTTAGAGTGGTAGCCACACCTCCCTGAACCAGTTTTCTTAGGTTGGGCCAGGTTCCCCAATCCTGCTCCATGGGGTCCCGCTTTCTCCTGTCAGCAGTGGACAGACAGGTCTGACCATCTATATAGGCCCGTCACTCTATGCACTCTTTCTGGCTGCTGCCAGGAAATATGTGTTCCTTCTTGTGAAAAAGACAGAAACCATAGCAGGAAAGCTTCTCGGATGGCAGGGAACACAAATTCCTCTGTAGGACCCTGTCCATTCGTTACATTCTCAGTAGCTGGGGTGCTGGACAGTGCCCATTGGCTCACCCCTGCTTGAAATTTCAGGCCAAAGGCAAGAGGTCTTGGAGCCTGAGCCAGCAGGGTGCAGAGTCTCTGCTCTCCCGGAGACAGCTTCTGCTCATGGAAGTCTAATAAAATACAGCTTTCACAAAATCCTAGAAGCTTTCATCACGCTTGTTGCAGCACCCGGAGCTGGTTGAGTGCCTCCTTGGCTCTGAGTAGTGTTCTAAATGTGTGCATCTTATTCTGAACTCCAGATTATCTGCATTCTGCTGTGAGGAAATGGAGATATAGAAAGGCTAAATAACTGCTCTGAGACAAGTGGAGCAGCTGACTTTGAACATGAAACCCAGGGTCTTATGCTCTACCACTGAGCATACTTCAAGCCTCAAAGTTGTTTTTCCATCTAAGAATCAAGTGAAATACAGCCACCAATCATCGAGTATCTCCTTGGTACTAAGATGGGGCCCACCCAGGTCCTCAACAATTTTCCATTGTCTTCCTATAAAGAGGCAGACATCTCAGAGTGTGAAACCAGAGAATGCCCCATTTGCATTCAGACTGAAGGACATTTTGCACTGTTATTGGCGTCATATCAAATGTTCATTTGTCAGTTTTCATATTAGATCCAATGGTGCTATGTGCCTTTGGCAAGTGATTTGGAAATTCCAGAGCACAATAGCTAGAGGAGGTTGGAGTGCCCAAAACATCCCTTAGCAAACATAGGGCACAGTGGTAATGAGACCACAAGGCCCTTTGCTTATCTGTCTCAGCCTAGAACTTCTGTGGGCTTAAGAGAGTCTAGACTGTTCCTAGAAACGCTTGGTATGGTAGTAGAATGTGGAAAGAAGTCAAGTGTCCATCAGTGGATGGGTGGATAAAGAAGAAATAGTCTAAGAACACAATGGAGCGTTGTTCAGCCATAAAGAGAAATGAAGTCCTGATCCATGCTTTTCCACTGATGGGCCACAAAGCACTGAGTTAGGGAAAGAAGCCAGACAGAAAAGACAAATCCTGTGTGAGTCCGTATCTGTGAAGTGCTTAGATGAGCAAATCCATAAAGGCAGGACCTTTGGTGGTTTCTGGGAGGTGGAGAAGCAGCTGAAGAGGGTAAGGAGTGCAACTCGATAGTGATGATGCTGATCCAACTTTGAGAATATGTAGCAAAGAGAAGGGCTGACTTGAAAATGCAGGAGTGGGCACATGCTTGTAATCCTAGCCCTTGAGGGTCTCAGGCAGAACAGTGAGTTTGAAACCAGCCTGGGCTATGTGGCAGGTGCTATGTGATAGGGAGAGAGAGAGAGAGAGAGAGAGAGAGAGAGAGAGAGAGAGAGAGAGAGAGAGAGAGAGAGAGAGAGAGAATTATGGTATGTGGATTATATCTCAGCAAAACAAGTAAACAATATGTGAAAGAACAAGAGCTGAGAATAAAGCATTTCTCTTATCAAGTCCTCCAGCAGGGGATGCGAACACTTCTTATGAAGCTGGCCTTGGGAGCAAGGCTCTGCACTGAGCAGGAACTGAGCCTAAGTCTTAGCTTTGGCACAACTTAGGGCAAGCCATTTCATCCCTCCAGATAGTGGTTTCACTGTCTGTTTAATGGTGTTACTGGGAGAAAACTGTAAAATACTAATACTTATATAAAACTGCATTCATGGACTGGGAATATAGCTCGATTGCAAGAGATTGCCCAGCGTGCTGGAAGTTCTAGGTTTAACCACTACTAAAGCAAGCAAGCAAGCAAACAAACAAGCAAATGAGCGAGCGAACTAACCACAGGCAAGACATTATTCCAGTGTCCTGGAGGCTGAAATACTATCTTCCACCACAATCAGCTCAAACCCCACAGGTGCTGGCTTATATACTGAGAAAGGTCACTTTGTCCTGAACAGAAAGTACCCATTGAGAGAAGGTTCCAGGTTTCCCTTTTGGGATTCTAATAGTTAATAGTTTCCAAGTCTCAGTGTTTCTGCCTACCCCAGTTATACAGATTTCTAAGCAGGCTTTCCACATTTTAAAAAATGCCTTTAGATTCTAAACTCATACACTCTTCACTATACCCACAAAGGAGGCACGATTTAAATGTTCCAAAGTCATCAAACTTACTGTTCATGAGACTTGTCCTACTTACCCCTGTGAAGAGGTCCCAATTTTCTCTCCGACATGTGTTCATATGGTAGCTTTAATATTCACGTTTTTTCTTAGTTCTGTGGTGATGTTCAGAATCTGTATCAAGCTAGTTCATAAAAATAACAATTAATTCAAGTAGAAACAGAAATCTTTCTCCAGCGATTATTAAAATATTTGCTTCTTGGTGTTGAAAAATCAAAGCTCCACTAAGTCATGATCAAATAGTGTCCAAATGGGGCAGGGGCCAGACTTCAGCTCTCTCTCAGGCTCGCTCCGCAGTCCCTAGGCTTTCCAGTCCGCTTTCAAGGCTAGCTTCCAGCGCCAGGGACTCTGCCAGCTTCAGGGTCACAACAGCTTCACAGTCCTCACAATGGAGCATAAGTGGCCCGAATAGCCTGCAACAACCTTCCAGTTGTTGGCAGGGCAGGGAGGGGGTGGTGTTTACAGCCCTTACAAAACTGCGCTCCGTTTTTCTTCCATTCTATTCTGTTTATTGAATTCAAAACCGCTTCGGATCCCGCAAGGGAAAGGATCTGAATTCTCGCAGACTCATCTGTTATGTTGAGCCTAACATCGTTCCTACGTAGTGTACGAAATGGACAGGCTTTGAGCTGTTAGCCTCTTGTCCAGGTGTACAGTAGGGCTCCGAATACAGCAAGCCGACTCTTGGGCTGCGGTTTCTGTACGTGTGGAAAATCCTGGCTGAGGCTGGCAGTGTGAGAGCGCCCTGGCCGGGGCTGCAATCGCCAAGCAGACAATGAAATGTGAAAAAGCTCCTGGCAGGTTCTCAGCTGTGAGCGAGGTTGGGGATGGGGTCTTTTTTTTTTTTTTTTTTTTTTTTTCCTAGCTCTGAGCCGCATTTTCTCTTCGAACATTTTCGCTAGACTAGGTGTGCGGTTTTAGTTACCAGCGCTGTTTGTTTCTCCATAGAATGTTAGTACATGTGTTGAGGTCCAATGAGAAATTTGCCCTAGCTCGTCCCTGTGACGCCCCCCCCCCCCCGCCCCTGGGTAGGGGGTTGCGACCAATGTCCAGATGGCTGCACTCCCGGCCATTGCAATCCATCAGCCCCGCGGAGGGCCGAAGGCTGGTCTGTACAGCGACTTTCCAGGTGTTAACCTCTGGTTTTATTTTCCCCCTTCCCTTCAAGGGTCTCTAACATGATCAACAACTTTTAGTAGTCAGCTGAAATCCCCTTCCTGGAGCCATCCAGTGTCTGAAACGCGCCCTTTTGCCTGAACCTCAACGTTCAAATCCCCCTTGGTCAAGGGTCAGGGACTGAGAGATCTCCGCGTTCTCGGTGCCTGGGTCTTTGGGGAAGGAGACCCATGGTGTGAAAGTGCAGTCCGGAAAGTGAGGGTTTGAAAAGAGAGTCCCTGGCTAGGAGTGGAAAAATAGAAGGGCAGCAAACGTTGTGCCTTAGGCTGGGGGCTGCGGACGCTCCGGCGGCTTCTGGCTTCTTTGCCTCGGGCCAGGTTCCTACGCAACAGGTTTGTGGCGACAGCGCCGCCGACCCTCGCCTGTCCGACTGCTAGATACCACCAGATAGGAAAGGCAGAGCACTAGAAGGAGAGAGACGCCTGAGCGGTTCTCCCTGGGCTGCCCAAGAGAGAGGCTTCCCTACCCATTTTATGTTTACCTAAAGCAGTTCCTAAATTCCTATCGACAGGCTGTGTGTAACTGGGAGGATAAGAGGTCCCGCTCCCACCTGTCCTAAAGCTGAGTCTGAGAGACCACCATCTGTTCTCCCCAGTTCTTGGGGTGCAGACCTGGTCCCAGCTTTTAGAGTACAGCACAGAGTACATTTCCCCCATGGAGAGTGCAAGTCCAGCAGCTAAAGGAGGAGACCCGCTCCTGGAATGACCCGACCCAGAGTGGAGTGAATTCCTTAGAGTGTAGGGACCCCAGTTTGCTGTGGGAGAGCATTTGCCATACGTTCCTTATCAGTTACAGAAAGGTATGGACAATCTAGAGCGCGGGGAGTAGGGTAAACCTTCAAAGGAGTCTGTGGAGACAAGGATGTGGGGGTTTAAAGGGTCGCTGGCTGTTCCCCACAAGTTAGGGGGGTGCAGACTTGATCATACTGGTGCTAGACCCCAAGAAGCATCTCATGAGCCCTCTCTGCAAGCCACATCTCTTTAACAGGTATTTGTGTCAGAGGGAGAAGAAGAACTTGCTAGAAATGGATGCTTAGCGACTCCACTCTGAGCTAGTCACGAAGCAAGGTACCTGGGGAATTCACGGGGGCGGGAGGGAGGCTGGCTAGAGAGGAGGGGCAGCACAAACAAGGTATTTGGAAGAAAGACGACACCTTGCAGTAGATTTGTCCTGGGGAAGGGTGGTGGCTAAGGAGGGGGGGTGGTCAAAGAGCTCTGATTGGTTAGGGGGAGGGGCTAGGGGGTGGGGCTAGCCGCTTCTTGAGGCTTTAAAAGCTCACCTAGGAGGGGCGGGGAGCTGTCATTTGCTCTCTGAGCCTCGGAGAGAGCGCCACGCTTCTTCAGAGCTCCCGGAGCTCCGGGTGGCGGAGCAAGTATTCGCTGCACGGACTCACCAAGGATCCTGAGCTTGCTTAGGAGGGATGGCCACGGTCCCCAAGAGCAACATGGGACCTACCAAGGCGGTTCCCACCCCATTTGGCTGCATTGGCTGTAAGCTGCCAAAGCCGGACTACCCACCAGCGCTGATCACCTTTATGTTCTGCGCGATGGTTGTCACCGTCATCTTAGACCTGGTCGGCAACTCCATGGTCATTTTGGCTGTGATTAAGAACAAGAAGCTCCGAAATTCTGGTAAGCCATCCTCCTTTTCCCTACCCGGTGAATCCCCTCTGCCAAATTTCTCCCAAACCCCCCGGGGGCGGGCGGTGGGGATGACGTTTTCCCGGGTTCCCCTAAATTTCGAGCTTCATAGTGCTGGGGGAGCTCAGGAAATTAGCGTTGGCCAGTCGAATGCAAAGCCCAGGTTTGTAAGGTGAGCGGTAGCGCGCCAACCCCTGTCCCGTCGGAGACTGGACACGGAGGGAGTCGGCACAGGAGCGGAGAGTTTGGCTGCCACGCGGGGACAGCCAGCCGAACTGGACAACGGAAGGGCGGGTGGCCTCGCTGAGGCACTGCTAGCTGCACTGTCTCGGAGAGAGCTGCGGGGCTGCGATCCGCTTTGGGAAGTTGAGTTCGCGGCGGCCGCGGCGGCTGCGGCGGGCGGCGGCGCTCCAAGGAGCGCAAGGCTGAAGCGGTCCCCAAGGGCGGCGGGGACTCCGCTTGCCGCTTCTCCAGGGCTTCCGGATCGCTCCCCAGCGGCGCCGCGTAGCGCGGACCCCACGCCTCTCTCTAGCAGGGCGATCTGAGCCCGCCAGAGCCCAGCTCAGTCTGCCTGTCCCAGAGCAAGCGGCTGGCACTGGCAAGCGGCGGGCTGGACCCTGCAGGCGGCGGCGGTGGCGGTGGTGGCAACGGTGGCGGCAGCGGGCATCCGGAGGTCTGTATCGGGGAGTTACAAGGAGGGCGGCCGAGGGGCTCAGGAGCTCTGCGCGGTGGCTAGCGGGCGGGCGGGCGGGCGGGCTGGTGGAAGGAGGAGGCAGAACTAGGTAGGAACGGCGGCGGGAAGGCAGTTTGAGCGCTCCTGGGGAGACATGGGGCTTCTATTGCAAAGCGCTTGGGTGTCGAAACTGAGCCGGACTCCCCTAACCGCCAGCCAGGGCAGATCCGAGGGGAACTGCGCGGGAAGGTGCTGGGCATTGAGACCTGTGCGGGGGGGGGGGGGGGGGGGGCGGGGGTGAGTAATAGAGGATTGAAAAGCTGTCAGTCTGGTTTTTAGGGTGGGTGGGAGAAGGTTGTGGACGAGGGGAGGACGGGTGATGAAACCCCCAACTCCACTTTCCGCCTGGGTAAAGGTGATGGTGGCGCCCTGGGTCGTCTTTCCCAAGATCTCATCGCTTGAGAGAATGTACAGATCTGGGAGGGTTGGGAACAAGGGAGACCCTTAGTGGCCTGGGACTGGGACTGGGGGAAGGAGCAGGGCGAATTGCTTGGTGCGGGACAAGCTTCAAAACTCAGTGACAGAATCAGAGTCATTATAATTTTTTTCAAACTACTGTGAGTGCTTCCGATTTCCTCCTCGTAACCCAGAGACCCAAGGCTGAGCCTTGGAGCTCACCTTTCCTTCCCTCTTGATTAGATACCCAAAGGCAGATTTACGGAGGGTGGGGAGTTAATTACCTGCAAAGCTCCTCCGTTCTGTCTCCTTTCCTTTTCTTTCTATCTCTCTTCTTATAAATTGCAAATAAAAGTTGTTTTGTGGTTGTTGTGGTTTTATTTTTAAGGCTTTTGACCTTTCTTTCCTATTTTTCTTTTGGAAGTTCATTACTTTGAGGCAAAGCCTTATAATCCCTTTTGTCAAAAAGCACGGAGGGAAGTTTGGTGCCCTTTAAACAAGCCCTCTTTTTCTTCCATTCCAGGACAAAATTCAGTGTTTTGCCAAACCAATGCTAATTAGCAATAAGGTGTTCTCAAAGAAGAGGACCCTGTGCCTGCACTTGGCCTCTTTCGTCTACTTTTTTGTAAAAGAGTTTTTACAAAAATGTACACTCCTCGCTCGAGCATGCGCGCTCACACACACCCCCACACACACTTGCTCCTGCTGTCCTTTGAACGGGGCAGGGCAGGAGGAGGCAGGGGTTCCCCAGGCTGTTTCCCTGTTCAGCTGGCAGACTCCGGTGCTCAAGGGGAGTCTGTGCAGGATGCTTTGTGTATGGCTGGAGGTAAAACCACCCTTGCAGGGATTTCTCCTTCCTCCTGATCACCCTCTTTGACCTCATATTTGCTATTACAGGGTTTCCTTCTCTTAAGTTTTGCTCTGAAGGTAGCTGGGAATGCTAAATATTTCACTGGGCTGTTTGATCTCTTTGAAGAAGCCTCCTAGACCTTCTCAGGGTGGTCTCTTGGCAGGCAGGCCTTCCTTCATAAGGAAGAGAGTGTAAATTATTATTATCATCATTGTTAATTTTAGGTTGACTCTCCTTCTGGACAGCTCCATCTCCCTCCCCTCTCTTCCACTCTTACTTCTCCATCTTTTCCACTGCAGCAAGTGGGGCATAGTTGTATTTCTCTAAAATGGTGTCCGCAGGACTCTGCCCCACGATGTTTATGAGCTGTCTCTCTTACTCTGTCTTATACTCACTTCTTCCTCAGAGCAAGGATGACACAGCAAACAAACAACAGGTTGGCAAAGCACAGAACTTACTATGCATCAGAGCCACCTGGGACCTGCTGGTAAATAGGAAGAAGAAAGGAAGAAAATTGATTTTGTTCAAAGGAAATCTAGTATTCTAAAGTATCACCCATCCAATTGGTCTTTTCCTTTTTGGGAAGTAGCTTTCCAAATATTAACCACTGATTTCTGTCTCTCTCTCCTTCTTTTTCTTCCTCTGATGTTTTCCAGGCAACCTCTTCGTGGCCAGCCTCTCTGTGGCAGACATGCTGGTGGCCATCTACCCTTACCCTATGATGCTGTATGCCATGTCGGTTGGAGACTGGGATCTGAGTCAGCTCCAGTGCCAGTTCGTCGGGTTCATCTCTGGACTGAGTATAGTCGGCTCCATCTTCAACATCACGGCCATCGCCATCAACCGCTACTGCTACATCTGCCACAGCCTCCAATACAAGCGGATCTTCAGCCTGCGCAATACCTGCATCTACCTGGTCGTTACCTGGGTCATGGCTATCCTGGCTGTCGTGCCTAACATGTACATTTCCGGTGTTGAGTATGATCCTCGCACCTACTCCTGTATCTTCAACTATCTGAACAACCCCTCCTTCACTGTGACCATTGTCTGCTTCCACTTCGTCCTCCCTCTCATCATAGTTACCTATTGCTACACCAAAATCTGGATCAGAGTGCTGGAAGCCCGTGACCCAGCCAGACAGAATCCTGAGAATCAGTTTGCTGAGGTTCGAAATTTTCTTACCATGTTTGTGATCTTCCTCCTTTTTGCAGTGTGCTGGTGCCCTGTCAATGTGCTCACTGTGTTAGTGGCTGTCAGTCCAAAGGCTATAGCAGGCAAGATTCCCAACTGGCTTTACCTTGCAGCCTACGGTGTAGCCTACTTCAACAGCGGCCTCAATGCTGTCATCTATGGTATCCTTAATGAGAATTTCCGACGAGAATACTGGACCATCTTTCATGCTTTGAGGCACCCTATCCTGTTCACCTCTCAGCTCATCGCTGATATTCGGGAGGCTCGGGAGACCCGAGCTCTCACTCGTGCCCGTGCCCGTGCCCGTGATCAAGCCCGAGAGCAAGAGCGTGCCCGTGCCTGTCTTGCTGAGGAGGGAACCCCACGGAACATCCGGAATGTTCTACTGCCTGGTGATGAGGCAGCAGCCCCCTCTGATTCTGCCTCTGTCCACCCCAAGCCCCCAACCAGGTCTACTTCTATCTACCGCAAACCTGCCTCTGTCCACCCCAAGTCTGCCTCTGTCTACCCTAAGCCAGTCTCCTCTGTCCATTTCAAACCCAGCTCTGTCCATTTCAAAGGGGACTCTATCTATTTCAAGGGAGACCCTGTCCATTTCAGGGCTGCTTCCGAGCTTGCCACTAGTCACCCTACCTCTGCTGGCTCTTCCCCTATCCATCCTACATCCACTGCGGGTTACATTAAGCCTGGTACCAGCCACACTGCAACCACCACTGTTGACTATCTCGAGCCTGCTACCACCAGCCGTTCTGCGCTCACTGCTGTTGACCTCCCTGAGGTCTCAGCCTCCCCTTGCTTTGAGATGACCACTATTGGCCACCTCAAACCTGCCTATACTGCCTCCAGCTTTCCTTTTGTATTCCCGGAGTCTGCGGCCACCTCTGCCTCTCCTCCCGACTCCACTGTAATCCCCATTCCCGCTGATGATTACCGTAAGGTTGTGCTTATTGATGATGACTCTGACGATTCCGATTGTTCTGATGAGGTGGCTGTGTGAAAATGTTCTTTACAGTTCGCCCTGTTTGTGCAGTCCAGAGGGAGACACCTCCATGGCACAGACACACCGCCTGACACACACAGACATGAACCCGCAGACACAGTGGAAGTTCCATCCACCTTTCAGGCATCCTCCTCGTAGGCACCTGTACTCTTGAAAGCGTCTGTATATTCTTGCTGTCTTAGACAACAAATTTCTAAGTGTGACGTCTGTGATTCAGCCCTCAGTGATCGCTGAACAATCTGTTGCTTTGATCCTCACTGACTCTTTCAGCCCCCACCCTTACCCCATTCCTGATTTCTTCTGCCTCCAGCTTTCTACTCCCATTCCCAGGGGTGGGGGAGGAGTGCATGAGCACTGGTCAAGGCCATTTTGGTGGTCAGCTCTGTAATGTGACTGTGACCTCACAGCTTTATGGTGTAAGTGTGTAACTTTGTGTTGTAACTTTTTAGCAGTCAGAAGAGGGACTTATGATGAAGTTCAAACACTTGAAAGTTGGGTTTCAAGATTTTCTTGACAAAAAATGACCCCCATCTGAAGAAGAGAATTAGATAAGTTCTTATTAAAGTCTGTCAGATCAAGTAGCAAAAAAAAATGATATGTCATACTAAGTTGATCCTAGTTTATGTAAAGTTAAGCTTTGGCGCTGGTTTTTATGCATTCAGTTGGAAATGATGAGATGTTGATAGCCCGTTTTTTGGTCATTTGAATTTTTCAAGCATTGACCCGTACATTCTTTTATTTCCACAGAAATAGATCCATGTGCAAGTCATTTTTTATAGTTGGTAACCTTAAGTGGCAATTATAGTTATGTTTGTAATATTAGAATTCATAAATCACTCTTTTAAACACTTCAGTGTTTTGACACCATCAGGCTCTACGTCTTTGCTTTTCCTTCAGAGCTTGAGGCGCCACCTGAAAGCGCAAAGCAAATGAAGTATTAAAAAGCTTTGTTTTTGTGACCCCTGGCTTGGGGATAGGGGCCAAGGAGGAAAAACTGCCAGCACCAATAAATCTGTGAAGTAGTCAGTCTCTTGTTAGTTCTGAAAGTGATTTTCCTGTAAGACCCAAGAAGAAACTGCCATTTAAAGAAATTTCAATTGCTGATTCAAATTGACACTGTAATCAAAGTTTGCTGTATACAAACTTATAAGATGAAAGCAAAATGTATTATACTGTCTTAATTCTGTTCTGCATTTGTAGTAGCGAGTAAATAAAAGTGCTTCTGTGGCTGTAGTATGTGACTTCTTCACACATGGATTTTTTTTTCTTTCGGTTACTTACTGTGGGGGGTGTGTAGGGTGTGTATGGGGGGGAGCACTGGCCTGGAGGAACAAGAAGACTTGACTACAAATTCCATCTCTGTCACAAGCCTGCAGCATCCTGTAGCCTCTCACACCTCAGTTATTTTAATTAGCACACTTTGGAGAGGAAGGGTTGGGGGCACACTGGAGGAGGTTGGGGTAGGGAGGCACACAGATGTTGCAGTTTTCTTCTCATGGGGAAGGAGTAAAGCCAGCCCTCAAGCCTGCCACAATGGAAGGGATCAAGCAGGACACGGTATGTGACAGTGAAGGACACAGAGGAGTGGGGAATAGGGGACAGGACTCCAGCACTGAGCAAATCTCCTGCTCTCAGGAACATGGTCTCAAAAGAATGTTCAAAATTTCAAATATGTACTAGGACATCATGGTATGTGTTAATATAGATGTAATTTTTCATTTATTTTAAGCAAACCTCTGCTAGTCCTAGAGGACTTAACATTTTATTTATTTTGTGTTGGGCGGGGATATGTATGCATGTGGACATTATATCTTTAAGATGCAGCTTCTAGGGATGCAATTTCAGGTCAGCAGTCTTGGCAACAGATGCATTTACTTTCTGAGCCATCGTCTCAGACCAGTTTGATTTGCTTTTTAAGATAAGCACATTTAACACATGCATATACAGTGAGCATAGTCAGGAGTGCACATTCATTTGGCCTATCCAGGCTTCAGCAGACTGAGCTCACCTGAGCCATTAATCCCTAAGTTAAGGTGGGCCTAACTCCCCACCAGTCCTCTAGCAGGACTGCTGGGCTTCAGGCACCACACCCTGCACCTCGACTGAGCACAAGATTCCTGCTAAGTGTTCCTGGTTGTCTGAAATGAATGCTCACATATGTGCTTACAGACTGGCCTAGAGTCAGCCTCCCGCCCTCCTACCCATACCCCTCCCCCTTACCTTGCTAAAAAATTGTTCTGGGAGAGACTGCAAAGTGTCCAAACTAAAGGTACTGGGGCCTGATGCTCCAAGCTGCTGTTCTTCAGGCCCTTAGTGTTGCTGGATTTCAAGAGGAAATGGAAGGGGTGAAGTCTTTAAAACAGCAAAGCTCCAAAGTTCGCCTTCAAGGGTCTCAGCCTCAGCCTCAACTTCTGTTGGTGAGTTGGTAGAAGGCACAGTCCCTACTCCGCAGGTCAGTCCAGCCCTTTGCGTCATTACCCCCCACCAAGCATTTTAGCTCACAGGGAGCTCAGAATCCCAGAAGTGCTCTTGTTCCCTCTGAGTCCCAGAACTCAGGGTTTGGCTGAACACTTTCACTTGGCTGGTGCTAGGTACAAAGCTGTTTTCTCTTTCTAATGCAGGGAGTTTCCTTGTTTTCCTGGGACCTTGCCTGTGTAGGCCTTGTGATTCCCCAACCTCCCCACTCCCCAACCAGTGGACCTGTTCTCTGTTTTACTCTAACCACAAACGTGCCTCCCATTCAAGGAATCCTTGCAAGCAGACGATTTTGTTTATTTATTTTCATTTGGCTCAGCGTCTCACTGTGCAACCAGGCTGGCCTTGAACTCAGCTCCCTCACTAGAGTCTTCTTGAGTGCCAAGTGCTAGAATTTTAGATATACATTACACTTAGCAGCAAGCAAGAAACTTGTCTCTGCCAGATCTCCCTGCATGATAATCTTTCTGCTTGTAACTGAAATACAATGTATACTGTAAAGTGCCATCTTGGTCATTTCTTTCCCCTTTCACGTACAGGAGTGCAGCAGCCATCCAGGCCTTCCTACAGGCTCCCTTTGCCCACTTCTGACCAAGTTACATTCCTGTTGGCTATTGTAGAATTTTTGTCTAAACCAAACCATTGCATTTGTGTCTACCTTTTAGTGATAAAGCTTGATAAGCCATACACAGCAGAATTTGAAGCATTTTCAGTATAAAGGTCAGTCACTGTAACCGTATTCTGAGTGTTGTTCAACTGCCACAAGTGTTAATATACTTAAGCTCTTCATCTTCCAAACTGCAACTCTGTATATCCATGGCCTATCTCATTATACCTCTGTTAGCCACTAGTTTGGCCTAGACTTCACATAAAGTAACTCAGCACACAGAATTCTGGGCTTCATTTCCTTGAACATGCTTTGGAGATGTGTCCACGTTGTTTGATGCATCAGAAGTTACTCCTCAAGGTTTTCTGAGGGAGGGTAGAGAGATGGCTCAGCGTTTGAAAAGCACTCACAGGGGTTGTAGGTTCATTTCTTAGTTCCCACATCTATCCTCTTAAACCCACCCTGTAGCTCCAGCTCCAGAGGGATTCCATGCCCTCTTCAGACCTCCATAGATACTGCATGTAAATTGTGCAGTTAACATGCAGGCTAAGTCCACATACACATAAAATAAAAGGAAATAAAATCTTTAAAAAATATTTTTGAAAAGATTTCAGAGAGCACTGACAAAATGGTTCATCAGGGAAACTTGCTGAAAGCCTGCTGGTCTGTGCTCCATCACCAGATCCCACAGTGGAAGAAGATAACCAACTCCAGAAACTTCTTTCCTGACCTCCTCCGTATATAGACAATATTAATAAACAAACCAATTTTAATGCCTCAGAGGAATATTTAAATATTTTGAGTATTTTCAATCTCTATTAAGTTGATCAGGCACCTAATAAAGTAACATGTATTTTTATTAGCAAAAGTAACATCTTTTTTTTTTTTTTTTTTTTTTTTGGTTTTTCGAGACAGGGTTTCTCTGTGGTTTTGGAGCCTGTCCTGGAACTAGCTCTTTTGGACCAGGCTGGTCTCGAACTCACAGAGATCCGCCTGCCTCTGCCTCCCAAATGCTGGGATTAAAGGCGTGCGCCACCACCACCCGGCCAAAACTAACATTTTAACACTGTCTGTAGTAAAGGTGTCTATCTCCATCCCTTTACCCATCTTTGTATTGTATTTTTTACTGATACATGATTCACATATGACAAATTTCCTCATTGTATTCATTTTTTGTGTTTTGTATATCCACAAACTTGTGCTACAAGACACTCTTCCATTGCCCAATTTTTAAATATTTTTATCAGACTCAAAGAAACCCCGGAATCACTGACTTTCATTTCCCATGTCTTTCCATATGGAGACTACTACTTTTTCTGTGACTGAATTTACACATCTGGATCTACCATATAAATGGAATCATGCAATATATATCCTTGGTGTCTAGTTTCTTTTCCTAAGCATAAAGATTTCCAGATATATCTGTGTTGGTATCATGTAGCAAGAGCTCATTCATTTTTGAGATTGAATAATATTCTATTATAGGTACATTTTATTCATACATTTATCTACCAAAACATTGCTGTGTTGATATCTGTTTGAGTTTCTACTTTTAGCTCTCTTGGGCATATATGTAGGGCAACGGTCACATATATTCTCTACAACAAACACATTAGCGCTAATATAAGGACCCAGCGAGATTAAGAATAAAGAGATAGAAAAAGACCCCACCATGTTATTGCTAACTGAAAGAATGCTGTCAATCTCTGTAACGGTTTCAGAAGGAAAAATCATTTGGTGAAGAATAGCATTGTTTAATGGTATAATAACAGGAATAAATAATAATCCTTAAATTGGTGTTCCTAATAGCATACTGTCAAAATAAGTGAATTAAATAAAGCTTACCTGAAGATCAGAGAGTGAAACAGCTGCACTGGTCAGCCTTACCGACCAGGCAGTGGTGGCACACACCTTTAATCCCAGTAGTCACACTAGTTTACCATAGAAACCGGGCACTAGTGGTGCATGTCCTTAATCCCAGCCCTAGAGAGGATTATAAGAGGGGAGGAGACAGCTCTCAGACACAGTCTCATTCTGAAATTCCTAAAGGCAGGATCGCCATTTCGGACTGAGGTTGAAGTAAGAGCCAGAGATTGTTTTGCTTTTTGGATCTTCAGGTTGAACGCTAATTTCAGTCAATAAAAAAATAAGTTTTTATTAATCGTGCTTTATAGAGATTAAGCAGTGTATGAATAATTCACAGACAAAAGGTCTTTTTTTCTTTCAGACAGGGTTTCTCTGTGTAGTTCTGGCTGTCCTGGAACATCCTTTGTAGACCATGCTGACCTTGAACTCAGAGCTCTGCCTGCTTCTGCCTCCCAAGTGCTGGGATTAAAGGCATGCGTCACTACTGACTGGCATCAGACAAAAAGTCTTAATAGACATTTTAAAATATTTTGAACTACTTGAAAATTGAAAACACAATAGAAAAGTTTGGAAGTATTGTGAAAGTGGTGCTTAAAAACACCAGTGTTGTTATGGTTACTAGGAAATGATACTGAAGATGTGGGAGCTTCCTAAGTCTCAACGGGCAGAAAATGAATAAGTGATAAAGTACAAGTAAGTCTCATGGAAAACAGGAAAGTGGGAAAATGATTACTGTAGTCAATAGAAAGGTTCTGAGGAAGTATAGACAAGGTACTTGCGAAAGCCCTTGAATGTCTAAAAAGTGAAGTATTCTTCCAGGCTTAGGGGATGCCATGGTTAATTTGTTTGTCCAGTTGGCATGACCTAGAATCATCTAGGGGAACTGCTTATCTACATTAGGTTAGCCTTTGTGCAAGCTTGCCCAGGAGGGACTATTTAGAGTGTGTTAACTGCGGTGGGAAGGCCCACCTTAAGTGAGGTCATCCCCCACCCCAGAGGGCGTGGTCTTGAAATGAATAGAAGGAAGCCAGCAAGCTAAGCAACAGCACTCCTCTGTCTCTGCTTCCCAAGTGCAATGCAGTATCACTAGCTGTGGACTCTGGCATCTTCTAGGAGCACCACTTTAACACTACCGGAGATGCCAGGACAAAAGACCAAATGACAAGAAAACAGATATTTTAAAAATGAGGGTCGTTATCGTATTCCTAAGGAGGTACATTTCTGGCTGAATCTGCTACTATGATTTCTTCCTCT